ACATGGATTTATTCTGTAGTTTTTATGAGCCCCTTTTTACAGATGAGCAAACTGAGACATAAAGAAATTTCGTTCAGATTCTTCTCTTCTCACGTTATATTCTGTTCAAAGCATGCGCTGTGCAAGACCATCTTTAACTCAAAACAAATCCTTAAAAAGCTGGCTAGTATTTCTGCTTAGCAGCAGGAGGGATCTAGCATTTGTTAGGAAATCAAATTCTAGTTTAAAGGTGATTCAATCAAATTACTTTGAAGTTATGCTACTCACCAATTTTTAAACAATGAATTTTCCTTTATTGCAAATTTTGCAAAGTGAAATGATTAATATTTTAATTTGCTGAGTTAAAATTTGCATAAAATGCCCCTTTACTGTGACTTGTTCAAAATCAAGTCGTACTAGTGAATCTGTCTCCAAAGTCATAAACAATGTAAAATACACTTCCACAAACATCATGGAGTAATATTTTTTTTCCTTTTTTTGTGGGCCTAGGGATCAAACCCAGGACCTTCCATGCATGCTAGATGAGTGCTGTAGCACTAGCTACACCCCCAGTCCCTGTTTTGATTTATTGGAAGTGTAGTAAGTCTAACCAGAGGGTGGATATATCCCTCTTCCACCTGTGGGCCTGAAAAACGATCACCGTGGCTGAATGGGCACTGAAGGTTGCTGATACCAATCTTGAGAAATGGTTTATACATACAATCAAGTTGTAGTTGATTGCATTCAGGAACATTTTGTTTAGGCATTGGATTGAAAATCCTAGACTTTTATTTTTCAACTTTACCTTTGGATTTGATAAGATACAGTCTTTTTATGTAGTCAGCTTACAGACAACTTTAACACAACCACTGTTTTCTCTCCTACCAGTGACTTTTAGGTGCAGATTTTGATACTAGGATTTGGCTATTACTGTTCTGTCGGTCTGTGTACATTTTCAAACAATACACACATTTCCTGCTTGAATGCAGCTGCATAGGTAGGTGTAGAGCACATATCTCTGGTCTAGAGCCAGCCCCGGAACACCTGTTAGCCCTTCTTCTCCTTTCCTGTGGCTGCAGCACTATGGAGAGACTCTGGGGATGTGGGGGGTGAGGAGCTGGAATGGCGGTGCACAGATGCCATATGGATTCATCAGCATGTCTAAGAATGGAGCAATAAGGACTACACTGTGTGTGCTACTGTAGGTGACACTAATGTGTTATTAAACTTATGTAAATTTCACATATTAATCCAGTCCGGAAGTTTTAGTAAATGAAAGCCTATAATAAAGACGATGTCCTCCTGATATGTGTCATTGTTATTGCTTGGCATGTTTGTTGCATAAGTACTCCTTCTCTGCTCTTTTAACAATAAAGCAGTGAAGTATTTTCTTCCATTAAACACTGTAGAACCCTTCCTAGGCTTGATGAGGCTTAGATAACAACTCCGTTGAAATGATCAGTTTCCTGAGTTTGTTACTGCCCCGTGCACAAATTGGCACAAAAGTGAATGGCTAGTTGTTTATTAGGTGAAGTTTACTTCTCAGTGCATCCTTCGTCTTGTAGTTTTAGACCTTGTTAAAGATTAGCAAGCAGTTAGGAACGTACCCAAGCCAAGACCCATATCCTGTGGCATTCGTTCAGAAAACTCACTGATGCATTGGCCAATGTAGTTGCAACAGGTCCACTGAGGCTCACAATGATTTCCTTCTATTGTTCCAAACTTGGTGCATGTGGCTTCTGCAACTAGGAGAGAGGGTGAATATTGAAAATGATCTCTTAAGCAATGAGATACTTTGCTTATGTTTAGGGGGTTTTGACTTAATAGCAAGTCCTTTAGAATTGTGCTAGCTCTCTTATCTGTTTTATATAAGCAGCAGTTAATAGAGGATGTGCTTTTTTGAAGTATTTTAAAAAAAATATTGTAATCTGGGCTGGAGATTTAGCTCAGTGGTTCTGGCGCCAGCCTCGCAAGCGTACGGTCCCAAGTTCAATTCCCGGTACCCCCCGCCCAAAATATTGTAATCTAAGCTGAGTTCTGACGCGAATAAGCAGTTCAAAATGCCCTGAAGAACCCATTGCTTTTCTGGGGTCGATGTTTAGATTAACTCTTAGCTTTTCTTGGATATTGGAGGCCATGAAACCCAAGCCCTCTTTATAGGGAAGAAACTGAGCCACACAATTAGTTGTAGAGTGAACTAAATGGCAAGCATCCAGTCCACTGACCTTTTCCATAGAATAGAGCTGCTTAAGAGGATAAAGTTATAGTGTTGATGGAATATTTTTCTTTCCAGATGCCAATACTGGGAGAAGGCTGAGATGGTAGGGAGTCCAGCCAGTAGTTGTTTGTGGCCTAAGTGACTTTCATTATTGGCTTAGCGGTGACTCTTATAAACCTAGCTGCTTCTGGGGATGGGTAATTCTCTACTTATTACAGGTGACTTCATTTATCTCTTCCTCTCCAGGTAGGCCCATCATTTCTGTCTGCTGCCAATCACATTTCCCCAAGCCATCCTCTGCTTGTTAGTACCATGAGCTTTTAAAACTTTATTGCAGTTACCTAAAAATTCCACCTTCAGAAAAGTGTTTTACACTAACGTTCTTAAGGAATGACATTGCAATGACAATTTCAAGGTGGGATATGGGTATTGTTAGGTGATGGGGATATAAAGTGTTGAGAGATAGAGTGATAAAAATATTATGATTATTGTAAAGCCAGGTTACCATTCAGCCTTATTCTACTAGTGTGATGCCTAGGTCCATGCTTTCAGGCTACTGTTGACAGTGATAACAGCTACATTAAGGCTGATTTATTGAACTATTAGTGCTTTAGTTTGGGGCTGTACCCAACTGGTCATTTTAGCAGTGAAGCAACCCTGCTATTTATCAGGAAATATTACAACCTGGATTCCCATTGTAGGCTTAAAGGTAGATTTTTTTTTTTTTTTTAAATGGCAGAGCTATTGATCTAGGCAGGATGTGAACTGACTTTATAGAGAAAGAGCCATTCATTGATTTATTCATCAAATTTTCAATGGACATCTTATATGAGTCAAGCACTGTCCTAGGTGGTAAGAATCCATCAGCAACCAGAACAGGCAAAACATTCCCTGCCCTCATTTGATGTTGCCAATTCCAGTGTTTTCTTTGGGCATATAGAAGCCTTTAAAAATATGTTTTAAAATATAGCAGTGTCCTGTAAAGAGAAGAAAAGGCTTTTTGTATTTTGCCCTTTTCCCTATTTTGTCATAATTTTTTCCAGGGATCAACTAGACATTTGTTATTGTCTAATCATAATTATCCAATATTAATTTTCAATGCAATTTTTAAAAATAGCTTTGTTCTCTTCTGTCACCTGGTTGATACAGGTAGCACTTAGACAAAGGAAGCGAACTTCAGATTATCATCTGACTTGATAATTATCAGGCAGGAAGAAGACACGCATTAAGGAACACCTATTGAGATACGCGTGTGTAGCTTTTTCCCTGAAAGGGATTTCCCGCTGTTGTCTGTGCTATCGTGTTAGAGCATAGCTTCTAGCTGACTCTTCTCTCTCTCTTCTGCCCTGTAAGACTGACCTGTTCTTCCTTTTTGATTGCATCTGTCTCTTTGTAAACAAGACAGCATGATTCCACAATTCGGGGCACTTCCTAAACAGGCATCATCCCTAAGCTCCATATTTAGTAATTCTGATTTTGTGGTTCTAGGATAGAAACCCAGAAACTGCTTTTCCAAAAGAAGTATTAAAGAAAGATGTTGGATGTGGTGGCACAAGCCTGTAACCCCAGCACCCTGGGAGACTAAGGCAGGAGGATCACAAGTTTGCCCAGCCTGGGCAACTTAGCAACTTAACAAGACCCTGTCTCAAAAAATAAAAAAACATCTTGGAGATTTAGCTCAGTGCAAAGGCCCTGGGTTCTGTCCTTAGTACTGCTTAAAAAAAAGACAAAAAAAAGGCAGAGTATCTTAATACTTTAAGAAAAACTGCCTAAAATGTTCTAGAATTGTGGGAATATTGAACCACTTTCCACTGGGCTGAACCACAGGGGAAGACTTCCCTATCAATCTTTTTTTTTTTTTTGGTACCAGGGATCGAACTTGGGACCTTGCGCTTGCGAGGCAGGTGCCGGAACCACTGAGCTAAATCCCTGGCCCTATAAATCTTAATTTATGTGAATCTTTTTTTTCTCCAGTGCTAGAGATCGAACTCAGGACCTTGCGCTTGTGAGGCAGGCGTGGCGCCACTGAGCTAAATCCCAGGCCCAAATCTTGTTTTAATAGTCTGAATGTATGTACTATACATGTAATTAAGAAGTCAGCAGGTATATAAATGTCCCATAGTGAGATAGGCGAAAGAGATGTAAATTCCAAACCTACTAGATATCCAGAACTCGAGTTCCTGTTCTCTAAAATTGAAGAATGAATTCTAGGAACAACAGAGGTTAAGAGTAGGAAAAATTTATTGGGAGAAAGAACGCTTCTGCCTAAGAGAGACAGAAGGGGGACCGGAAAGTGGGTTGCCCACTCACCCCACTTTTCAAAGGTGTTTTATACAGCAAAGCCATGTGGTGAGGTGGGTACAAAGTGGGACAAAAGAATAAGACCCAATGGAAATTTACAAGGTGGGCATGAGGTGGGACAAAACTGTGACCAACCAATAAGATTACAAGTACAGTCACCCAAGTAATAACTGATTAAATGGGGGTCAAATGGGAGAGCAAGGCACATACAAGGAATTTCCCATTTAGAATATCAATCACTGCTGTCTATCTCTAGGGGAAGTAGTGCCTCTTCTTTTTATAATGCTAACCAGTGAATGTGCCTCAATTGTTCTCCATGTTGGTTGGTTCTTTGCTGAATTGGCTCCTGGAGGGCTGGTCCTGTCTTAACTGCACACAAGATATCTAATTAACTTACCTATCTGCAATAATAGCACCCAACAAGACTTACTTCTCTGTTCAACAGTATGAGGTGAAGATTGTATCAGCTTTGTTAACCAGCTTTCTTGGGATTTCTCTATAGGCAATGGTGGCTTGCTATCCAGGAAATGGAACAGGTTATGTTCGCCATGTGGATAACCCTAATGGTGACGGCCGCTGCATCACCTGCATCTACTATCTGAATAAGAACTGGGATGCCAAGGTACTTTGGAATAATGAGAGTATATAGTTGGGTTATGTCATGCAAGGTACAGATAAGGTGGCTGAAGAGTTCAGAAAAAAAGAATGTGTACTTTCCAACTAGGAAAAGAATTCAGATAACTCTCAGGAGAAAGTTTTGAGTTTCTAATAGCCTCGTCTCCCATGATGAATCTTTTGTATTTCTGTTTTATATTTTTCCCTTCCCCTTACCTGTAGAATTAGTAGTAACGTTGATTAGATAAAAAATAATGGATATGAAATTAATTTAGAGGTGGGTAGTTAGGGTGATTATTGGGATGAGGTGGGAGTGATTGATGAAAGGAAAGTAGCTTGATATGAGGATTAAGAATCAGTTTTTTAAGTCTAATTCAGGGCTGATATGACTCACAGTATAGAATATGATGTACACTTCTCCCTTCCAGCAACAACATTTAAGAGAATGCTGCAGAAATAGAACTGTGGGATATAAAACCATCTCCCAGAAAGATTTCCCACACAGTCCTCTTTCTCAGGGTGATACATCTTAGTGGTGGCTGATTGCCATGGCTTACTATGGTTTGTGAATACCAAAGGCCTTGTGGCTTATTTTTGTATTAAGGAGCATATAGATAGTGATACAAAGTCTGGTTCCACACTAATAAACATTTGTCTGGACTTTGTATGTTCTCTGAAAGTTGTGAATGATTTAGGAGTCAAGCTTATTTGGCTTTTGAACCTTGTGCATCTACATTTCCTGTTCATTAGGGTAGACTCTGGCTGTCATAAAGCAATGATGTTTTATCTGGGGTCAGAAAACGAGACCTGGGAAACGAGTGAATCAGTGGAAAAGCTTATCTCTTGTTTGGTAACATGACTAGAATACACCCATTGTTCTCTTTTAAAATCCTTAGGGACGCTATAATGGGCAAAGTTATCAGGTCAGTAACAGTAAATTACAAAGTATGAAATCAACAAATATTTGAGTTCCTGCTAGTGTCAGCCATTGAGCTGTGGGGAAATATTGATATATGAGGCCTGGATTCAACCACGAATATAGTTATTCTGGCAGGACAGACTGGGTATACTAAAAAAAAAAAAGTAGTTCAAAAGAGTGATATGTCATAAAAGGTACCAATAAGGTGAGGTCTGAGAGTTTAGAAAAAAGAGCATATAATGTTCAACTAACAAGATCAGATAGGAGTGAGTGTTCAGAAGAAAGCTGTAAAATTTTTTTTTTGGTACCGGGGTTGTTGCACTTGTGAGGCACCACTGAGCTAAATCCCTGGCCCATAAAGCTGTAAATTCTAATTGAAGGGTAAGTTATACGTGATGAGCATCTTAGGAAGCTGTTAAGTAGAACCACATAAAATTGCTAGTTTGTTGTTTTTTTTTTTAGTTCAAAACCAAATATTGCCAATTCTGTATAATGCAGTCTAGTAGTATACTTCTGTGTCCATGGGCTTCATGATTGTGGGAATGGGAAGGCTTTGTTTGATAAAGTGAATAAGGAGATATCTCTAGTTAAGTTGGAAATAAAATTGAGTACAAAATATGAAATTGAAGTGAAGATTTGAGGGTAAAGCACACTTGGAGTGGAGGTTACAAGGTGGTATTGTTTCCAGATGAGGTCAAAGTATCCTTGTTGGCAAACTGTCTGTGAAGTAAGTAATCTACCTTTTTTTGGTCCTCAGCTGCATGGCGGGGTCCTGCGAATATTTCCAGAAGGGAAATCATTCATTGCAGATGTGGAGCCCATTTTTGACAGACTCTTGTTCTTCTGGTCAGACCGCAGGAACCCACATGAAGTCCAGCCTTCCTATGCAACCAGGTAATAGCGTGGGCCATGATTCCTCCTTGAGGGATTCTTATACAAACCCCAATTCCCAGAGAACCCTGGACTTGTGTCTTGTGTATGTCGGGGGCTGATCACACCCTGAAGGTGGTAGACAGACTTATTTGGGGTGACAAAAAAATAAAGGGGATATTTTGGAGTTTTGGTTTGTAAATCTAACTTCAGTTTGAAATAATTATTAACAAATTTTTTTCTGGTAAGTGAGCATATTGGGTTGCAGATTTCTCAGAGTGTTTTTCTCTTCTCTCCTTTCCTCCCTCCTTTAAAAAAAGTCAAATGTTAAACTACCTCTAGAGAAGGTTATCTATCACATATTTGGAATTCTGTGTGGTTAACTTTAGATGAATTTATAGATTGTCAGTTGCAAGTGGATAAAGAACCTTGAGAAAAGAAAGAGGAATTTATTCTGATTTCTTTTCCTTATTTACCTGTCTTAATTTCTTTTCTCGTTTTTTTTGGGAACAAAATACCTAACACCCAAAGTTAAAGGAAGAAAGGTTTATTTCAGATCACAGTTTGTAGAGGCTTCAGTTTGTAGAGGCTTCAGTTTGTAATTGGTTGGCTCCAAGGCAGAGTGCATGCCAGAGGGGTATTGCAGAGCAGAAGACAAGCAGTAGCAACAATAAGCCACAAGCGGCAGGACCACTGCTCTTTTTGTGCCTTATATCTTACCCAGGCTACCTGCCCTTAGGGTGGGTAGCATTCACACCGTTAATCCTAGCATCAAACTGTGAATCAATCCCAGCATCTTGTCCTTGATCACAGCAGCACAAACCCTGGCTCCAGCCACCTTCAAAGAGCCCCACCTATGGCCACATGAGGCTTGAGGGGACATCTAGATAGAAGCCATAACATTACCCTTTCATTAGCTTAAAATTGGCTTGGGCTAGTTGTATCCAGGTCTTAATAATTAGATATTTGATTTGTTTTTATAGAATGTAAGTATGAAGATTTTCAGAGTAACTGAGCAACTTAGTATTCCTTAATATTAATCTAGGAGTTTTTGATAAAAATCTTAAATTCTTGTTCTGCCTCTTATTTGCCTTTGTCTTATGGCCTAATCTCTAAACCAGGCAGTACTGGAATAATGCGGAGTACAACTTGTACCAAGTATAGCACTTAAAGGTCAGGGGAAAGGGCTTTGGTAGGATGATCATTAAACCTTAACCAACCTAATCTGATTAAAACTCACATGTATCCCCCTCCAGAAATCACCCATCTGAGCCCTAGAGTTAAATATTAATGCCGAATTGGAATGTGCTCTAGATGAGCAGGTAACCACATCTACCACCGAAGTGCTTGTGGCTTGTTTTATGGGGCACAATATTTGGACCCTGTCTTTTGTGGCAGAATTCTCTGGTTATTTCATAATCCCACAGTGAGTGACTTTACAGAAAAAAAATTAGCAAATGTTGATGGAAAGCCCTCATCCTTGGAGGAGGGTGATCAAGTGCTATAGAAATCATTATGGTTATAATAATTATAAAGGGAAACTTTTTAAAAACATGAACATGAAATGGCCCCTCTTTCATCCTGTCTCATGGATAGGATAAAGCAGATTAATAAGCAGATTAATTGGAATATAGTAGAAAGCTTGAGGGCATCATTATTCATTGCATTTTTGCTTCTATATCCAAAACTAAAGAAAGCACTCCAAGAGTTTTAAGCATCCTGTGACTTAAATAAATTATTCTTCAAATGTGATCTCCTTTCCTCTGTTGTTTCCCTACCACCTTGAGTCTCTGTCTTTAGCAGGATGACTCCCTTTTAGTTTTTTCTCTGTTGGGTACTTTAACTTGTTGCGTTATCTGTTAAATCACTTGTCCTCCCTGCTAGAGCCTGAGGTTCTTGAGGAAGCTCTGTTGAAGGAATCGTTTGAATTCTCAGTGCCCAGGATAATGCCTGGCACATACTTGGAAATCCTGTTGTGTTTTATTGCATTTTAAACAGAATTGAAACCAGATAAATAAATTTAAATTAAAATTGGGATGAACTTCTAAAAATAGGTAAAACTTTAAATGTTGGATTTCCAAGTGACTTTTTGGGAAACTCATAGTAAACTGGCTTTTTTTTGTGGTACTCATTTTTTCTTATACCTACTTATCCTTCACAGATATGCCATGACTGTTTGGTACTTTGATGCTGAAGAAAGGGCAGAAGCCAAGAAGAAATTCAGGAATTTAACTAGTATGTATCTGATATTTTTGATTAAGTTAATCCATGACCTTTATTTGACTTTATGTATTTTATAATATACTCTGTTTAGTCACAGTTGTGGCTTAGTTTCATATATGATGATTTTTTTTTATGATGACATTTTGATGGGCTTAATCTTGAAACTTTGGCCTTAGCACCCTTGGAAAAATCAGAAAAAATACAAAGAGCATCCCTTCTGTGTACTCTCCAATTATGTGATGGTTTTTAATGGATGTAAATAATTACCTGTAATCATTAATGTTAACTAGTCACATGCTAAATTTTGTTCATGATTTTGGCACTTTACAAAGAAAATATAAAGAATCAGCTATAATGACTAACAGTGCAGGACTGTGACTCAATTTAAAAGCAGGGCTTATGCAATATTATATCAGTCATTGTTAACTAGAGAAATGGATATAATAATACAAGATATACAAATATATAAGAATTTACAAGACTGGCTTACAGTGGCCACCCACAGAATCAGATGAGGAAGAGTGCAGAAGGTCTGTCTGCAGACTGGAGAGCACAGTGTTCAGTCAAAGGTTGGGAGCTCACTGCAATGTCCTGTGCGAGTCTGTATCAGGAGGCCAATGAGTCTGGGATGGAAGGCTGAAGAGTCTATGCCACAGGGCTGAAGGATCTGTGCTGGAACCTGAAGAGTCTGCACTGGAAACCAGGAGATGATGTCCAAGGTGAAGGCAAAGACTGGAGCTCCTCTGAAGAAATAAGATCTGTCCTTCTTCATGTCCCCTTTATACTACCCAGGCGACAAGCCACTCTAGGGTGGGTCTTCCACACCCACCCTAGAATTGCTAAGCCAGTTTAGTTGAGCTCCTCTTACTCAAGTTGACACAATCAGTCAACTATTATAAATATAAACTGAATGTGACTTAGTTCCATTCCTGTTTTCTCCAACCAGTATGGTAAGGCAGCATTTCCCCAAATATGTTGTACTAAAACACTAATCCTGCCAGGTTGGCTTATAAAAAGGTAAAGTGCTGGCCCCCAAAATGTGGGAAATACTGTACACTGTATCCTTCTCTTGAACAGTAACAGTGCTCCTTAGCTAGGCTCTAAGAAGTCTTGCGGAGGGGGCTGCATATGTAGCTCAGTAGTAGAGCATTTGCCTGGTATGTGCAAGGTCCTAGATACAATCACTAGCATTGCCGAAGAACAAAACAAAACAAAATCTTGCAATGAAGAAATGTTTGTAACATTGCCTAGCCCATGACGCATTGGGACTGTACACCTATGAAGCACTAAAGAGGACATTTTTTATGAAGCTCTGTTGGGAGGTTTAATTTGATTTATAAAATGAGAAATGTTTACTGAGTATTATATTTGTGACATAAAATTCACCAGATTTGACTTCTTACCCTCTTTATTCTCTTTTCTCTTCCCAACCCAGGGAAAACTGAATCTGCCCTCGCTGAAGACTGAATGTGCTCTGAAATCTGATGGCCTCCTTCATTTTGGGATCAGCTGAATTCTCTGTAAGAATTGAGATCTAAAGATGGCCTCTTCAGTGACCATAAATTACTCCCTACTGCTTGCATCATTTGCATCCCTGTATTGTGTGTGGTACTTCTTGTTTTCATGCCAGGACTGCATTGACCTACAGACACTCTCTTTGCCAGACTTGAACTCACTTGCTAACTCCAGAAATGCCTGCAGACATCTTCGTTGGTCATTGGTTAAGGATAGATTTGGTGATGTTGGCTATCAAAGCAAGAGCACAGGAGTGAACCTTACCTGCACTTTATGTATTCTTCCTGATTCGAAATGAGGAGGTTTGCAAAGAAAAAAACATTGGTGACAGAAGCATCATTGAAGCTTGAAAAGCAGAAAACTGAAATTTGTGTCATCTGGACAATTTCCAGATGTTGTTATTCCAGGGCTATTGGGGTTTCTGAGAATTACCACAACATAACATTATTACTTTTAGAAAGGCTGCTGTCATAGTGATCAAATTATAAGTGTCCCATGAGGTAGACACTCCTTTTTCCTTTCCCACTACTTGGACTTTCTGCCTCAGGCCCATTTTCTTGAAAATGATTTTCTGATTGAGAATGACATCACCACTTATTCTTTATGTTCACTTTTTACTGGGAGACTCTTAAGAGGCTAAAATTCAGATATTAGTTGTTTTGGTTGCTTTGTTGGAATTTGAATTTAAATCAGAGGGACAGAAAACTACCTGATAGTTTAGTGTCAGGCTCTGGTAACAGTGTGGACAAATCCAGGTCTGCTGACATACAATAAACGTGTGCATCATGAAAACTTTGAGAGAGAAGATGGAGTTGTAAATGTAGCTGTCCCCATTTTTTCAGTATTCCTTTTTAACAAGCTCACCTTTCTTTAACAACAACAACAACAAAAATAAGGTGCTATGTTTTAAAAAGGAAATGGAAATAAAAAATTATCAAAGATGTTTGAGTTCTTCTGCATGGTCTATCCTATCAGCTTTTCCTCAGCTGACTTGACTCTTCAGATCCTCTGTGATTGGCAGTATGGCAAGAATCATGGAATTTTCTAGAACTGTGGGAGGTTCTGCTTTGTGCTCTACTACTGCAGTAGGCAAATTTCACCACATTGAGAACTCTATTGAGTGAGCATCTATTTTATGGAAGTTACCTTCCTTTCAACTCTACTTTCATATTTTTTAAATCCCTTCAGTTTCCTCTTGAAAATCCTGTGAACGTAAAGAGCCAGAAATGTTTTCTTTTGTCATGTATGGAAATATAGACTTTCCAATAAAGAAGTTTATTTTCTCCTTTTATGGTTTTGGAAAATTTTCAGATAAGCCCTGTTGTCATTCTTTCTCACAACTGGTCTATCTTGTTTTGTAGTAGTTCTTTTTACCTTCTAAATAACTTACTATGTAATTTACTTATTTATTATGTTTATTGTCTTATATCCTTCCTCTAGCATATAAGCACAATGAAGACAGGGACTTTGTATGTTTTTAAGCAATACAATATATTTCCAACACCTAAAATAGTACCTGGTGCATAGTAAGGGCTCAGTAAATACTTGTTGAATAAATTCAACCTCTTTTGTTAGCATTGAATGGTTTGAGTTATTTTCTTGTCTTTGACAGAAAGGGCTTGCTAGCATTTTTACACACATCTTCCTATCATTGTTGACTTATACATTAGGCTAAGTTTTTGAAAGTTTTGATTATAGTGTCATTTCATATTTATTTATATATGAAAAAGTCATTCATTGACCATGAATCTAAAAATTGAGCACATAATATTTCTGCCTTTTTGTATTTTGGGACTAGGAGTAACAGAAGAGTAGCTTCAGATAGATAGAGTACTATCCTTTGGGACATTCCTCTTTCACAATAGTTTGTTTTTGTTTGTTTGTTTGTTTGTTTTCATACTGGGGATCAAACTTGGGACCTTGAGCTTGGGAGGCAGGCAGTGGAACCACTGAGCTAAATCCTCAGCCCACAATAGTGTTTGAAACATTCAGAAAGAAAGAAGGAAGCTTGTTTATGAGGAATTTTATATTGCATAAAATTACAACTTTTTTCCATGATTACTAATGTCATAAAAATGATAGTGATAATATTCTAGAGAAATATGTAGTTCCAATGGCATGTCTTGCATTTTGTTACCCATTTTAGTCAATATTTTGACTTGCCAAGAGATCTAACCTTTTAGGTTTCGCTTATTCCTTCTACACAATGGTCTTTTAAACTAAGAAGCTACATAAAAATTACTTTTTCATATACACTGTTTTCATGGCTGAATTTGAGTCGTGCAAGATTAAGCTGGAAAATACAACTTTAATACTGAGTATCTGCCTTTTGGTCCTGTCTTTGACAGGGGGAGGACTTGGCCCTGTTGAAGAAACATTATTTGGCAAATAATCTGATCAATTTCATTTATATTCCTGGCAATGAAATGTTAAGAGCCTACCTCACCGTTACATCATCCACATAGCGCAGAGTCCTTGATAGGAGATTAGATTTTGGACCAAAGATCCAATTTCATGAAAATAAAAAGTCTTTCCTAAGTGCATTAAATAGATCTCTAGTAGAGTAGTTAATACCAATTAAATACTGGGCTGTCTGAATCATAAGTTATCCATTCAGGCATGATTTTGTTTTTCTTTAAATAACTGCGTTTTTAGAGACTAGTTCATCTTAATTTCTTTTGGCCATCTAGTCTTGAAATTTCCTGTGTTGTTTTAGAGAGCAATGATGGGAAATGCCATGATGGGTCAGCAGTTTGTGTAAGACAGGAGGTAATATGTCAGGTACCTTTGCATTTGATCAGCCATGAGGACAAACACAAAGCATATTCTTACTGAAGTTATTTTAAATAGAATATAAAATTGATTTAGCTTCTCTTTGCATCTTTTGAAGGGCATAAAAAGAATACTGGTTAGTGATGTGGGTTAGAGACTTATTAGAACAGAAGGAAATACACTGTTCTCTTCAAAATAAAGCTTACATCTGTACTCTGTTTGGTACTATATGCTAGTTTATATTAAAGATGCAGTCTACCCAATCTATCCCCATCTAGATGTGCTTTTTAACATGTTACTTCTCACTGTTGAAAAGTTAGTTCCATTGAGATGCTGAATTTAACATAGTGTATCTCCTTTACATTTGCAAGGTTGCAAGGTCAGGGATAGAGGTTAAAGAGTCATGATGTACAGAAGCTGAGAACAATGGGTAAGTTGACTCAGTACTCAGAGAATACCTATATGCCGGGTCTGTGCTACGTGCTCTCATATGTTTATTCTTTGTGACCACTGGGCAACAGCTCTTCCTCTTTCACAGCTAAGGAAACTTAGTGCTTAGGTGGCTTGTCCAAAGTTAAGCAGTGATGGAGTAGTACATGAGGATTTGATTCAAAGACTTCCAGCTCCTGGGTATTTGTTGTCTTTGGTATCTCCTTCCTGCAGAGCAGATGCCAAACAAAAGAGGAAAAGTGAGTGGAGTTGGGAGAGGCAGAACTATAAATGCTGCTGCTTGATATTTTTACATACTGTTATGATTACTAACAAGGATGTCATGCCCAGCATCCTAAAGGAGCACCACTTATTCAATTAAAAAATTGCATAAGCAGAAAGCATCAGCTTCATAGTTGAATTTTCTCTTGACTTTGAAATGGGATCTTCCTGCAAGTCTCATAGAGTCATGGGTGAACTTTGGGTTACATTCAACATTGGCCTCTTGGGCTCATTCTGGGCATGAGCTAGTTGAGGTGCACTCTCACCTGTATATCAGGGCATATGGACCATTTGGAATGGCAAACATTGGGCTTTCCTGGGTACAGTTTCGAGCTCTCTCATCAGGCCACAGCTCTGGGACACTTAATATGTAAGCTGCCACCCTTGAGTTCCTATGTCAGATGTGCTCTATGGGGAGGAAAGGAAACATTTTTTTGGGTACACCTAACTTCCACCTTGGACTTGAGACAGAGCTCACATGTCTGAGGATACACCATCTGATAATGGAGTAGAGTACTTTTGTCACCTCTGAGTGACACTGGACATTTACACTTGTAATTCTTAAAGGCACGTGGGCTACCTCTGTTTAACCTTTTCAAGGTTGGCTACAAATGGTACCATCATAATTTCTTTAAAACACACAGCTTTTTGGGTTCCTTAAATAGTGTGAAACACCACTAGTGTTGACAGAGGATCACATTTCTTTCTTGTTTGATTGGTCTTTGAATTTAACACTCAGGAAAAGTCAGCTTTTCTGGAAGTAGTGGCTGCTTAGGTTTCTGAGTGCCAAAATTGCCCAGAAAATTTATAAAGGCCATTTAAAAAAATTCTCGTAGGGAATAGCTGTTGTGCCTTATTGACACAATTTTGGAAACAGATTTAAGAGCAGTCAAGTGAAATTATTTTAGGAGTGGACAGATTTTGGGTCATTAAAAAGTAATTTAATAGTCCTTTTTTTGGTGCCCATTTCTTGAATGAAACCTGCTTGTCCCTTATGACTGGTGCTTGGTATATGTGGAAGTAAAAGGTGACTTGGGATTAGGGAGTAGAAGGAACATTTGTCATTTGAAGGCTTCTGGAGAAATGGGACTTACGAGGTCTGGATGTGGTTTGTACATTTTGAAGACAGCTTTGGGAGTAGCTCAAGTTTATGGTCTCAGAGTGTGGGGAAGCAGCTCCTAGCAAGCCTCTTCAGCACCAGAGCAGGGGCTGGGTGCCCATGGGGGAGCAGTAGCAAGTGGAGGTGAAGGTGAAACTTAAATATTCACCAACTATCTGGATTTTGAAATTTTTATTGGGGACCAGATTACCAGACAAAATGCTGGGAAGTAGGCTTTTCCCAAGAACTTTTCTGTAGCCATTTTTTTCATTTTTGAAAAGGTAATACATGCAACATGAGAAAAATGCAATCAGCCTGAACAGACAAAAGAAGAAAAAAATGTCTCTTTCCCTCAGAAACAATGTCGCTGCCAGTTTCTTGCATCTCTCCAGGGGTTTCAGCCTCACAGTGGTGCCTGGCGATCCTGGAAAGTCAGCACCTCAAATGTCCTCCTCCAGCACGTTTGGCACGTTTGCTTAGTCATTTCCTCCTATTTTTATGCTTATTCATCCTGTGGCTGTGTTCTCCTTGACATGCCTATTTTTTTTTTCCACCCTCCTGTGGGGAAAGATAACATTCTCAGTACTTAATTCTCATCTGATAAGTTTTATTTTTAACCAACCCCTGCATCCTTTTGCTTATTTCCATAGCCCACACACTTCTCAGCCTTCTCTGGCTTTCCCAGAAGGTACGATCAGCACAGAGGGTTATGCTGTGGCCTGCCTGGGCTTTTCTGACTGGGAGCTGGAAACCCAGCTTGGCCCCCAATACCTGGAGGCTTTGTCCTGTGCATGTCTGTGCTGTTTTTAGCCTGCTTCAGCCTGGATCATTTACTCCTACCTCCTGCTTCCCCTCTAGGCTGCTTGTAAATTTCCTTTTGTCAGTAAATTTATGTTATCTTGATGAGGGACACCCACTGTAAAAAAAAAGACAGCTGTAACTTGCAATGATTAGCATGGCCCAGTCTCCTAACAGCAGTGGCCTTGCAGCCACTAAAACTTCCACAGTGTGACAACTGTGTCTGGAGTTTACACGATGATGTTTGGATTAAGATTTAAGCAAAGTAGCCAGTTGCTCACCCAAGTGGAGGGAAAATGTATTTGGTTTTGTTTTGTCTTGTCATATGATCTCTAACCATGTCTTTCCCAGACAAATATGTTGGGAATAAACTTAACTACTTAAGTATATATACATTCTTTTTTTTCCTCCCCCTTTTAGTCTTTGACCCACCACTCCCCTTCCCCCAAAATGACCAAATATGGTTATGGTTGCAACTTTTCCAAGGAATGCTTGAGTGAGGAGGAAGTTTTTAACCTGGAGAAGGGCGCTGGGGCATGCAGGGGCTGGCTGCGTTCCCCAGAGAGAGGGGTGTGCATGGGAATCTGCTCATGACTTGAGCTTCATAGCTTTGACCTTCATTTTGTTCTCAATGGACTAACTGTCCCTCAGGCCTCACTTAGCTCTGTCATTTATCATCCATATATAATCACTAAGCATTTCTATAACAATGTAATAGGGACTTGGAAACAAAAGTTGTTTAAACACCCAGATCTGTGATACACCTTTATAGGCTGAATGTCTTATCAAAAGACTAAAGAACATTACTGATGAAATTTACACACCTTATCATGGTGTGCCAACAGAGAATCAGTGGCTTTTATTGGGCTATTTAGGTCTTTTTCTCCTAGCAGGAGACATACACAGGTCAGGTAACGATTGTTCATTTCCTAGGGCTCTGCTTGATGTGATATAAGAAACTTCAAAGGTTAAGGGTAAAGCTCAGACCACTTGTCTAGCATCCACAAGGTCCTGGGTTTGATCCTCAACACTGTAAAAAAAAGTTTCAAGAATCT